TAGTTTTTTGCTGGCTTGAATCTTGACTAGCATGCATGAAGAAAATGAAATTGTTCTGTAGCTTATCAAAACATTCTGAAATTTATTAAAAATAATCTTCCAGTTTTCAATGTTTTTCTTTATAGAAATCAGGCAGTCATTGGCAGTCCTCATGATGAAGGCTAAACAGGGAGAAGGCAAATGAGGAGCTGTCTAGAGGGCCGCGTTATCTCATTATCACATTTTTAAAGCATACAACTGGCTGACCCATGCAACCTCCTTCACGCGTTATCCTTCTTTTTTGAGAAGGGCATCCACTTATTTTTTTTCTATATATACCCTTGCCTGGCAGGGCTAGTCATGGGGACAGAGGTTGAGGATAGAAGGATAAGTAATAAAGGAGCTTATGTTCGCACGGTGATTGCTATTCTTGGAGGGAGTTAGGTAAGGAAACGCCCAGGGTGACAAATTGTTAAAGTGTTAGAGAGGTAGGACTGCACTGAGAACCTCTGTAGGGCAAGGGGAGCTTCACGTAAAAACTAATGCTCCAGCTTGATTTGTAAGAACAGGAAAATTTTTCCATGGAAGAGGTTGTAGGCGGAACAATAATTATGTAAAAGAACAATGTGTGCAAAACCACAGAATTCTAGAAAAATGAATACATTTAGGAAATAGCAAATGAAATCTGTGGTGTGTTCATTAGTTTCCTAGGGGTGCTATGACAAAGTGAACATTCTTAGTTCTAGTTTTATAAAAAATATTCACCTTTTGGGTGGCACCTGTGGCTCAAAGGAGTAAGGCAGCGGCCCCACATGCTGGAGGTGGTGGGTTCAAACCCAGCCCCGGCCAAAAACTGCAAAAAGAAAAAATTCACCTTTCTTCAGAAGACCTAATTCTTAGATTGGTAACATTGCTCTTATTTTTCTTTTGGATTTTTTTTTTTTTATTTTTTTTGAGACAGAGCCTCACTATGTTGCTCTCAGTAGAGTGCCATGGTATCACAGTTCACAGCAACCTCAAACTCTTGGGTTTAAGCCATTCTCTTGCCTCAGCCTCCCATGTAGCTGTGACTACAGGCACCTGCCACAACACCCGGCTATTTTTGTTGTTGTTGTTGTTGCAGTTGCCATTGTTGTTTAATAGGCCTAGGCTGGGTTTAAAGCCACCAGCCCCTTCTGGGTTTGAAGCCAACAGCCCCGGTATGTGAGGTCCAAGTGCCTTAAAAGGCTAAAACTAGCCTTTTATTTATTTGCTAAGAGGCATGAGCCTCTTCTGGACTTTTCTAATCAGGTACTTTTAGCATTTGTCTCTCTTTCTTTCAACTGGCTCCTTCTGAATAAGCCATAAATATATTCATGTCTCTCATGTTTAGAAAAGTAAGTAAACAAACAAACCAAATCTCTCTTATCTATTGCTGTATTCAAGGAACACCTCCAGCATTCTCCATTCTTATCCTTAGGGAACCAGAAATAATCCCTCTTTTCATTTTATCATTTTCTCTAGGTAATTCTTTAACTTATAAAGTTGAATTAGCAAATTTGGGGTTGGGAATCCAGGCCTACTATTCCACTGAAATATAGATGCAAATTTAGTGTAGCTGTTTTTTTCAATTCCTCTCTCACTTGGACACTCATTTTGGACTCAATCATTTTTCTCTTCTTAAATATCTCTCATTTTCTCTAATGATACTAACTACTGGATCTTTCCCACCCTAGTGTCTTTCTTGTTTCCGCCTAATTTGCTACCATTTTCTCTGACTGCCCATGGAGTTGCACTAGGGATACATCCATCCGTTCAAATATAATTGATATTTGCGTGATTCCCACATCAGCAAGTTCAGCTTAGACACTTCCTGATTCCTTGATATCTAATTCCAGACATTCATTTTCAACTACTTACTCGACATCTTCTTTGGGATGTCATGGATTCCAGCATGGTTGTAGAGCCTACAGAATTAACAAACTCTTCTTTCTCCTTCTCCCTTGTCTGGGTGAACAGTATCGCACAAACCTGAAATCTGGGTCCCTTCTGTTCATTGTTCTCTACTTCTCAACTACTCTGTTTGAATATTCATTCTTAGGCCTGGCATATTTACTCTACCCTTCCGATCCCATGGCTACTGCTATCATTAAATATGAATCCCTTTTCACTGGGCTATCAAAATGGATTCTAAATAGATTTTTATATTTTATATTTCTTATACGATTAAAAAGATGCCAATGGCTCCTTCATGCCCAATCTTCTTCAAACGGCATGAAAAAGACTCCACTCCCTACTTTGGCCACTGTGTAAAGTTTTGTTTGGGCTGTGGCAAGTCACAGACACAATGGAGACTCTCTGATGAAAGTTATAGATTATTCATTTAGGAAAGTGCACACTTCCCCATGCACGCATTATTGTAGCAGTATTAAGGGGTTCATGGACTCCCTGAGGTCTGTCTAGGGGTCCCAGTCCTGCTCATGATTCTCCATCATCTTCAACAGAGCCATTGTAGTTACTCTGAAATGCCTGTTATTTCTTGCTTCCTGATACCACCTCAAGCAACCCCTGCTTGGCCTATTTTATTGGTGACAGGTAAAATCCACTCACTTCCTGTCTGTGAGCCTAAGACCATCCCTAGGCTTACCCTCATTCTTTCTTCAAATATGTGCATTATTTCTCTTCTTTATAGCCCTATTATACATTAATTCTCTCTTAGTATAATAAAATACCCCAGGGTAAACAGCGTAATGTAAGGTTAAAGGGCATTGGAGTCAGAATGACTTGGGTTTGAATGCAAGATAGATATGGATGTATTTGGTAAATAGCACAGTGTCCCTGACCCAGGTACTAAGAGTTACTCTGAATGGGAGGGAGGAGAAATTTCTTCAGTCAATTTAGCACCACTTAAGAATTTAAACCAGTTAACATGGTTTAGAAAGCTATGGAGGATTTGTGAGTGCAAAGATAGCAGGTAGAAAAGAAGATAAGCAGGAATTCTCATGTTTGAACCACATTTAATAAGCTTCTTTCAGTTGCAGAACTTAGAACCTTGATTGTATCCTTAGGTTTTTTATAGCACTGTATTAATTACAAGAAATTTTCAGTCATATGTGTAGATTTTTTCTTGACCTATGTTTTTTTTTTTTATTAGAAATGCAATTTTTTTTTTAAATTCATGGCGAGCTTATTTTTCCATTTGTCTGGTCATCATTATATTTACTGACTTGCAGGATTTAGTGCATTGTTTCGTAAAATGAGGGTTTAGGAAATCTAATTCTGTGAGACACTTATTAAGGAATGTGAATCATATTAGCATGGTAAAGGCTCTGAAAAGTCCTGTGTTGAAGGACCCTCACATATCTACACTTTTGGAAATTATGATGAACTACAAATATCCATCTGCTATGTATTATCTTTCTGAACAGAACTAATTATTAAGCATCCAAAGTAAATTATTTTATATATTTTCTCTCATCTCAATAGAAGATTCCAAGATTCACCTTAACTTAAAAGACTTATTATCATAGGTTGTGTATGTTTTACAAATGGAGTAGAATCTCTGACAATTGACCACCCCAGGGACTGTAATGAACTAGTCCACATATAGAATTGATCAACCTAAGGCCTTAGGCCTACCAGGACATGTGGCGCATGTCAAGTCTATGAAAAGTAGGTCATCTTAAGGTGGTGATCAATGTGGGGGTCAACTGTGGAGGTTCTACTATATTTGCTATGGACTTATCACAAGAGAATCATTTTCATATATCACAAAAATATTAAATCACAGTATCATAGATCTTTTGGAAACAAAAGGATGGCTATATTTCAAATGGTTTTCCCCTTCACCATTAATCTGAGAAAACTGAAGCCTAGGGAAGTATAGGAACGTTGTGAATATCACCCAGGGAGCCCATAGTAAAACCCTGGACTAAAAGTTGATCTCTTGAATAGCAGCCCAGTATTCTTTGTTGCTAGCTAATCTAATCCCTTTCTTAATAAACCATTTATGAATAACAAAAATTATCCTGCCTGTGATGACAGTTGAGAATTTTTTATGACATGAAATTTAAAAATAAAAACCAGGGAGCAATGTCTGATTGTAAATGCCTAGTCATTAATAAACATCCTTGACATGACATTTTGCCAAATTGAGAACAAAAGCTTGAAAATAATTTATATATGAAATTATAAGATTCAGAAGAAAATTTTTAAACATCTAGTCTTTTAAAAATATGGACTCCACAAAATTAAAAATATAAAGTAGATGTCAGACTCATTTTATTCTTATTTAGTTAGTTTTACATTTAATAAAAATGTTTTCTTCCACTATACCACTCTTGAGGATCAAAGTCATTCCTAGAACACAGATAATTCTTGTTAGTTGGTTCTAACCAGTGGTTCATCATAAATTGTTTTCTAAGGTGGGGTCGCTTCCCCCTATTAGGAAATAGGGACATTTAAAATTTGTTTTCACTATGGCATCTCATCATACTTCCTTCTTCCTTAATAATTTTGAAAAAGCATAGGAGTTATGATGCCCTCAATACATACAAAAAAGTTAAAAGAGGAAATATATCCACTCTTCATATGAAGTTACTTTTCTTTTATTATAATCCTATTTTATTATTGAAGAATGAATGCTAGGTGATAATACATAGTTTGGAAGCTATCACATGTTCCTACATTTTTTGGTTTTTGCATAAAGAGAGTATTTGTGCTTATATAAAAAAAACCACTTTAATTCCAGGAAACAAGTCTAACATTTTCAAGATTAAGGAAATAACATACAACATATGATATTTTACCTGGAAAATATTGAATGCAAAATAGAAGTCTAGGGAACTTAAATCCAACATGCCTGAAAATTTATCACCATAGGAAAAATTAAAGTTGCAAAGTCAAACAAGGCACTGAAATATATAGAATAAGATGCGTTTGTTGAAGGAATAATACACTTAGGATGTTGAACCATTAACAAAGCATTTATGTTGAGAAATCCTACAGGCAAATTAATTTCTTTTAAAATATTTATCTTTCAGATTTTCTACTCTCCCCTGGCCCTCTTCATACCACCTTCGGTATATGCTGTTCATCTTCAGTTCAATCTTCTCTACCAATTTTGGATCCATACAGAGGTAAATCTCCCCCCCCCCTTAGTTTTCCACCTAAATAGCCTGAAGCAATGTCCTGGAAATCCACTAGAAGCTGATTTATTGTGTAAGAAAAATCTTTGTCTGCCTTTTTTAAGGAGAAACATCTGTTCATTTTTTATTCCTTTTTACTGAATATATATTGCAAAGTTTATAAGAAGCAATGAGGCCAGTTGGTCTCAATTAAATAAAACAAGTTTTGAACTATTAAGTACCAAAACGTATTAATACTATTCAATATAATATTTTCCTGTATTATAGCTTATTGAACATTACTTACCAAGAGATGTTGAAATTCATTTCAATTTAGAGATAGAAATACACACACACACACACACACATATAGCATGTGTGTGTTTATACATGAAGAACTCCTTGAAAACTCTAAAAAATTAATGCTTGGAGCAATTACGAAAATAATTTTTGATTGGAAAACTTACTTTAGCTATGGAGTTTATATATTTTTTTAGTTGTCAATAATGTTGTTGCGTTTTTCCCAGAAAACTTAACAAATAAAATTTGGGGGTCTTCTGGAGCATCTCAAATTGTTAGACTTGAATGTTTCCAGATAGATCATTAAGCAACTGATTGGTTTATGAACTATCATAGTAATATTTTTGCTAAATAACAAAAATCCCAGGCACAGCAAAATTCTTACTAATACTCATGAGCACCCTTTCAAGCATTTGGTATTTATCAGAAGCTTTTTGAAGTTACCATAGGAAGCATGTTGACAGATGTTGCAACTTGTTGAACACCAACACAAATCACAGCCGCATTAGATGTGAAATCTTGATGCAGCAAAGTTCATTATCTCTTTAATCGGCAGTATTTTATGCTATTCATTTATTTAGGATAAAGACATTGGACATATGTGATATTATTTGAAGATCTGTCATGAAACAGTATTGTGTTTTATGATAGTTGACACACATCAAAAACTCAGTACTACAATCAGCTGAAAGAGTTGTTGAGGCCAATTCTGGCTCTAGAGGTCAAAGACCAAATTTGTTTAAATCAGTGGAGGGAAGCTTGCTGATGATTTACAGGGAGAGGTTAAAGGAGAATTACATTTTATAGCAGCTCTGCTCCAGGTCATACCATGTGTTGGGTCAGGTATTAGTCTAGATACCAAACAATGGTGCCTCAGTAACTTCTGCCTTCCCCTGTGTCCCTCTGAGAGTTCTTTGAGGCGGGGCTTGAATTCCACCTCAGGAAGTGAATAGCAAATGGGGAGACTTACTCCTTTTAAGCTCAGAACATCTAGATGGCTTCATTCTCAGTTCAAAACCAATGCTTAGAACCTCTGACTTGCGGTGTGCATCATTATATTGGAAGTGTTTTCCTCTATGTAGTTCCTGTAGGTGAGCTGCATGGAAGGAAATAATGCACTTTCTGAAGTAATACGGTTTAGATATTACAATTGCCAATTATATTATGAACTGTCAATCCATTTCCGAGACCTTTCACAACTGGGCAGTTATGTCAGTTTATTACACACAGCATACTGCCTTTTGTTTACAAATATAGACTTTTCAGGAAGGAGGGCCATGAGGTTGATAGCAGTGACGGCATCTGGAGAGAGGAGAAAGCGAAATAAAGAATTGAAGGAGGGAGAAGATTTAGCCATTTATTAAAAATTATTTTTATTATGTGCTTGTCCTACTTTGTAAATTAAAAGTTAACCCGCAGATTAAGAAGCAAAGAATAAAACTGAAAAAAACAGCTTTTGGTTTAGAAAAATATCCACTAGAATGTGCCTGTAATGTAAAATGTGTCAACCCCTTTAAGCAGAGTATGTAGTGTTTAATATCAGGCGTCCTACTGGGATCTCCATTCACAGAAACCATACACAACCTGTAGGTATGACGATGTTGGCCAAAGAGCCTGTACTTTCCTGAATAGAGATTCAGTTCTTATAAAAATCAATTCTTGCTATAACAGGAATCTCGTCTTAAGCAAAGGCTGATTTTCTAAAAGTGAAAAAGAGTCAGTTCTAAACCAGTCAGGTTAAGATAAGACGACGAAGAAAAAAAAGTAAAATTATGTTTGTGACAATTGTATATCACAGAAAAAAAAATAAATATAAAAAGCTGAATAGTTGGGATGATGCCTGTGGCTCAAAAGGGCAGGGTGCCAGCCCCATATTCTGGAGGTGGCAGGTTCAAACCCAGACCCCGCCAGAAATTGCAAAAAAAAAAAAAAAAAAAAAAATGCTGAATAGTTTACTGACATTTTCTGTTTACTTGTAAGTTATTTTGATGACAAAATGACAAAGTCTATTTTCATTCTT